AAAACTGGAATTGTTTCCTATTTTTAAAATGAAAATATGTGATGTACTAGTAAACATGTTTTCTATTTTTTTGCTAGTGTACACGAGTGAAGCGTTTTTAGGCTTATTTTGAGATTTGATTTGCATCCCTCTGTGCATGAGAGAGAGTATCTATACTATTCAATTCAACGTGCATCTAAAAGGCTCTTGTATATATAGTGGTGCAAGCCCATACATTCTCCAAATCAAGGTGGAATAAGTGGTTTTACAAAGCCTTTTCACCTTAGTTTTCCAACTCAAATAGATATATTTTAAAAATCAATTTTTTATTCACTCATTACCCGTTTAGGTCAAAGCCCACTAATAGCTCACCTTCAACCCTTTTTGCCAACCAAAATCATAGTTCAAACGGCTATTTTTGAACGCTAATTTATATTTATATAATAAATAATTTAATGTCATGCATTGTGGGATTGAATAAGTGCGAAATGAGGGTTTAAAAAAAAAAACAACAATAAAATTATATTCAGAAAATAACAATAAAAATAATTGAATTGGCTTAAGGAAAGAAAATGTTTGTCGTTATTGTCTAGAAATAGTTATAGCCAAGTTAGGCTTTACATGCATAAAACAGGACATTGACTACGCCTTTGGTCCAAGCTACCCAACCTAGATATATAGTCCAATTTAATTAAAATATACTCCGAATCTAATCAGTTCATGACTATTATGGAAGTCTCTCATTTCATTATATATTTACTATTAAATAAAAAATATTTTAAACAAATTTGATATTCTAAGGGAGTATGAAATTGACGATTTTAGGGCAACTTCAATAGGAATATTTTTTTGTGATTTTCAGGTGTCAATTAGGAAAGAGATGAGAGAGAGAATAAAGAAAAAGAGAGGAAAAAAATAAAAAGCAGGTCTGAGGAAAAAAAAACAGTTAATGCGCCAGCTGGCGCGTGCACCGCACACGCCTGGTTGGGTGCTGTATGTGCACAAAACGCACCGCACACCACACACGCCTGGTTGAGTGGCTAAAACACCTTAGGGATTTTCTGGGTGAATGTGTTTATGAACCTATGTGCCAAGAGCTTAATTTCTTTAATATATTTATTTCAGTTTTTATTACTTGTGTTGCAATCGCGTATCTTATTGTTGTTGCTAGTAATTAAAGGCCTATATTGCTTGCTTCATAGCCATATTCATGTCTGAACGAGAGTTAGGCATAAATTAGGGCACACTCGTTTGCACTTGAGTGTTGCGTCTTGACAAAAGGCAATTTTGTTAGGGAATTTAATTAATAATTATTGCCAGTTCGAGAGATCGTAGTAATTAGGAATTAACGAATGCCGTTTCTTGTTCTTATTGAGTGTTTGTCGCACGAGAGTGGATATTCACTAGGGATAGAGATTACGAGAGTAATTCAATTCCACATCTGCATTCTCACACAAGTTTAAATTTGAATTAAATATTACATCTTTGATTGGCACTAGGGGATTTAACACTTACAGGGCGTTTGGTTGAAAGGAATTTAAATTCCCTTCCCACTTAATTTACACCTAATTCCAAAGGCCACAAAATTTCCTTGTTTGGTGCAATTCCCCCATTTTCATGGAATCCCCCCCCCCCCCCCCCCCCCCCCCCTCCCACGATTTTAATTCCTGGAATTTTAGGATGAAAAAAAGATAGTAATGAGTCAAAATTACCCCTCCCTTTATTTAACCTAAAATGAATGCCTGACAACAACAATGGACATTTTGGACTTTATACTACTTACTCCCTTTCAATTCCCATGTATACCAAACATTGGAATTGAAATTCCCATTAATTCAATTCCTGTAAACCAAACACTAGAATTTACATTCCACTTTATTCCCAGTAATTCATCTCCCATGGAATTGCAATTCCTTTCCCACGTAATTCCCCCTCTCCAACCAAACGCCCTGTTAGATCCCAGGAATCCTATTTTGCTCTATTGTCTTCATCAATCTGCTTAGTTTATTATTTAGCTATTTTCTCGCTTACAATTGCCAAAATCATCTGTTTTGTTAGGACTAGCTTCACGTGAATAGTCTAGTAGCTAGTGCTTAGTACCCCACTTCCCTGTGGATCGACTACCCGTACTCCGGGTATTTATTTGTTTACAAATTTACTACAATTAGGGGTAGACGAAATCCTCGCCCCGCAGCATCTCGAAGAAATCGAGAGCCAATTCTCGGAAGTAAACTCCATAGGCAACAAAGTCGTCCAAATGGAGAAATCTCTCCTCAATTCTCGACTCTCCGGCAAGAGAATACTCCGATGCTGGGGTGGCGGGGGGAGCTGCATCAACGGATGGAGCATCGACGACGTGAAAGACAAGATCGGGAAGCTTCTAGATAGAAGAATTCGAATGAGGCGGCGACTTGAGAGAAGCGTGTGGGTGCATAAAGGACCAAAGATTAGTGTTCAAACTTGTGGACCAAAGATTGGAGAGAAGGGAAATAAAGTGAAATTACAAGCCTGTCCTCAGTTTATTTGCTTTAAAAACGTTGGTTTGACTATAGGACCAATTCGGGTAAAAAAAAAAAAGTATAGCCAGGGACCAAATTGAAGAATTTTTGTAGTCGAGGACCAAATTGGTGAAATCCTCATAGTCGAGGGACCAAATCGGTAATTAACTCCATTATTTTGTATTATAACTTTGATATATAATTACAAGATAGTGTAAAAAGAATACAATAGACAAGGTAGTGAATATAATCAATTAATGAATTTGAATGTCAGAAAATTTTACATTGGATAAAATAAAGACAATATAAATAATGAAATTCTTATAATGATATAGTAAAAATTAACTTACAAATTTCTTTAGAAGTATTCATACTATACATTGATAAAATTTTAAGAATGATGTGTCAACTTGTTCAATTGGAGCTGGTGGAGTGCCATCATTATCAATTGTTTAGACAATGGTCTTATCGTTAAAAGTCCAGGTGTAGTTGTATTTATGATCAACAACTTTGTAATTAGGTCGTATAGATTTGACAATAGCATTTGAAATAGTATAACAGGAGTAGGTCTATGAGAGTGATATCATACATTCCAATATCGTGATCAAACACTATTTCTTGAATTCGAATTGAATACCCTAATATATATATATATATATATATATATATATATATATATATATATATATATATATTGTTAAATATAATGCATTACTCAATTAAATAAATTAAATGATCACTGAGAAGAAAAAAAAAGACATTAAAATTATAAAAAGAAAACAACAACAACAACAACAAAAACAACAACAACAACAACAACAACAACAATAATAATAATAATAATAATAATAATAATAACAATAATAATAATAATAATAATAATAATAATAATAATAATAATAATAATAATAATAATAATAATAAATTCTCTTAGGACAAGAAAATGTTGTCGTTATTATCTTTAAAATAGGTATGTCCAAGTTAGGCTTCCCTATAAAAGGACCAGCTTGGTCATTAGTCCAAACATGCATGCTCTGATAAAGTATTTGGCGTATTCTTTTGTTTTATTTGTTGACTAATTAATTAGTGATTTATTTATTATATATTTATATTATTTATAATTTATTTACATGTTTAGGATGTACATTTATCAATAGTATCTATTCTGTATTATTCATTTGGAATGGTGACTGAGGATTTTTTTTTTTTTTTTTTTTTTTTTTTTTTTTTTTTTTTTGAGAACTGAGGTTATATTACATTACATATATAGTTGTCGGTGGATTAACTTCGAAATTGAAAAAGTTTATGTTAATATTTATTCTTTAATTTTAATTTTTTTTTAATTTGAAACGCACTGTTGATTTATATTAATATTAAAATTTTTTGTTATATTATTATTTAGTGACTTTGTAAATTATTAATATATATATATATATATATATATATATATATATATATATATATATATATATATATATATATATATATATATGAAAAATTTGTATTTTCTAAGTAGTTAGAATGATATTATTCAAACATTATTGCCATTAACAAAAAAAAAAAATTAAAATATACTCATATCATTATTAATTTTTTTTTTTTTTATATATTAACTGCTAATGGTAAACTGTTTATTTTACAAAACAGCTAATGCAATCGAAGAATTAAAATCACTAACACAATTTATAAATAGTTAACTCCTAATACAACTCGCTAACTGCTAATTATTAATCCGTAATTGCCAAACGAGAACTTAGATGAATTGAAAAGACTATTTTGCACACTAATTTATACTAGTAATTTATATTCAAATAATAACTAGTTAATATCATGTTTTACTCAATTAAATAAATGATCAATGAGAAGAAGAGAGAAAAAGAAAAAAGACACAATAAAATTATAAAAAGAAAAGAATAATAATAATAATAAAATTCACTTAGGACAAGTTGTCATTATTATCTTAAAAATAGTTATAGCCAAGTTAGGCTTCGGACCTACCTTGCTCATATGTCCCAAGTTAGCCAACCTAGATAAACCAAAAAAAGATAGACCAGTTTAAAATGGTCTAGATCTTCTCTTAAAAAGTTAAATTCTCAATTTCAAGAGTCCCAAAATCTCAATTCGAGCATTTGAGAATATGTAAATTACAGTGACTTAATGATTCAGCAGACAGTGTCAAATGACAGTAACCGGTTTAAGAGGTCTAGATCTGATTAGTCCAGCAGCTGTCATCAAATTCCCTCATTTCACAATAGCTGTTATTCATCTATTAAATAAATAAATAAATTTATTTATTTTTTTAAAACAAAAATCATATTTAGAGCCAAACCACTCCTTCCATCATTCGGGGTCCTTTCCCATTTATGTTTTCAGTGGGATTCGAACTCACACACTACCATTTCTTTTTAGTAATGATGAAGGATGTGAGGTATAAGTGATGACAGCATGGCCCAGTCTCAAAATTGTCACTTATAAAAGGACTTCACTCATTGAATCACTGACAGAATTCCCATTTCCCTTAAGCTAAAGCCTACTTTTGTTCTCAATTAACAAAGATGGCTTCTTCTTCTTCTTCTGTTCGTTTGTTTGCAACTGCCTCACTCTTGGTGATGCTCCTCATAGCCTCTGGTTTGCTCTCTCCCTTTAATTTCTCCATTATATATTTCTTCTTTTTAACATGGATCACATGCTTTAATTTAGTATCAGAAATTCCAATACAATTATCAACTTTGGCTTTTAGTTGAGATGGATCACATGCTTCAATTCATGCATCTGATGATGCTTTAATTCTCTAACATTTTCTTCTTGTTGTTTGATGATGTGAGTGTTAATTGTACAGAGATGGGAATAATGGCTGGTGCTGCTGTGACTCCTGCGAGTCGTCCCAAAAAATGCGTGAGGAAGATCTTGAAGTTGAAGGGGTTATGTCTTCGTGGGAATCTCATCAAATGCAATAAAGTTTGCAAGTCTGATAGGTTTGCCGGAGGGATCTGCCTCCGTTTCGTCTGCATCTGCATCAAGGGACGTTGCTAACTACCTTATCTAATATAATAATATTGCTTAGCTTCCTTCAACTTCGATCAGTCTTATATATATAGCTAATAAATAAATAAAGGTCGGTCACAAATAATATAATCCAAAGATGCATGCATGCTGGAGTTTTTCTTTTCTGCTTTGGTAGCAAGCAAGCAAGCTCCGATCCTCTCATGTTGTTTGGATTTGGTTGTTACATATATATGTATTAACATGTTGTGTTTGTGTTTCGTATTCTTATCGGAAGTAATGCAATTTATATTTCGTGTCGAATATTGTTCACTGCACCAATTAATTTTTAGAAAAGTATTCCCTTTCTTCAAATACCGCGCTAAGGTAGTTGATTAATATACACCCGAAAAATTTTAAAAACTCCTAAAATTGATTTGCTTCTTCTAGGAGTATTGGAATTTCAATTTCTAATGATACAATAAATTATGGTATATAAATCAAGGTTATCAATTAAGCACACGAAATATATAATTGGCGAACATGAACACAAATATAAGACTTCGTGTTTGGATATAAAATATTATGATGAGTATATTTTGTAGAGAGGAGGTAAAAGGATACTAGGGGGAATATTTAAATATAATGCTAGCTGCAGTATATTACAATTTGTCTTGATATTCATAATCATCAACGTATATGTCAACTCTATTTCTTCATCAACATTCATTGATAAAGTTGTCTCGTAGCATTTAACTAATCATAAAAAAATTTTGTACTACTATGTAGCTCTTTGTCTTGGTCATTTTCAACATTTAATGGAAAAATGATGGATCATATACATCAAAAACCATTTGATCATACCGATTGTTTTCACTAAGACGACACTTGTTCATGTCGTTGTATTGAGGGGGCAAGGTGTAAGTAATTAAAGTCAAACATGGGAACACATGGGAGCATGGTAGCATGTGAACTATGCAATGATAGCAACAACCCAAATTCAACGAAGTGGTAGACAAAATAATGAAGTTGGATGGGCAAGCCACAATTGTTGACATAAACATTTGCAATTTAGTTCCTAGATTCTAGGCTATCTACAAAACCACCCCTAATCCTTCTTCTATAAATAGGGAGTTTTTTTTTGGAATGCTGTTAAGAGGATCCTTAGATATATCAAGGGTACCTCAAATATTGCATTGTGTTATGGAGGATTAGACTTCATTATTAAAGGCTATGTTGATTCAGATTATGCAGGTAATCTCGATTGTAGTAAATCCACCACGGGTTATGTGTTTACTCTTGCTAGCGGAGCAGTAAGCTGGGTCTCGAAGTTGCAGTCTGTTGTGGCAACGTCAACGACAGAAGCAGAATATATAGCAGCTACTCAAGCTAGTAAAGAGGCTATATGGTTGCAAATGTTATTGGAGGAGCTCGGGCACAAAGTAGAGAAAATGACTCTATTTTGTGACAGTCAGAGCGCTTTGTACTTAACAAAGAATCCAGCATTTCATTCCAAGACGAAACACATACAAGTTCAGTATCACCTTGTTCGTGAAAAGGTGGGAGAAGGAAGTGTGGATATACAGAAAATCCATACTAAAGATAACCTGGCAGATATGTTGACAAAGCCGATTACCAACGATAAGTTCGTATGGTGTAGATCCTCAGTTGGCCTAACAAGTATGCAAGCAGCAGGTGATTGGCAAAAAAAGGATAAAGATCCATGATTTGACTTTAGTGGGAGATTTGTAAGTAATTAAAGTCAAACATGGGAACACATGGGAGCATGGTAGCATGTGAACTATGCAATGATAGCAACAACTTGAATTCAACAAAGTGGTAGACAAAATAATGAAGTTGGATGGGCAAGCCACAATTGTTGACATAAACATTTGCAATTTAGTCCCAAGATTCTAGGCTATCTACAAAACAACCCCTAATCCTTCTTCTATAAATAGGGAGTTGATTTGCCATTTTGAATCATCCCATCTCATCCCATCTCTCCTGATCTTGTATCCTTTCTTGGTAGTTTAGCATAGAGAGTGCTAGTAGAGAGAAATAGAGAGTATATTGTAACTCCTATTATTTTCTTGTTGCCAATACAAAAAAATCCTTCTTCAATATTGCCTTATTGTGTGTATGATTTATTCTAAATCTTACACTAGAAATATTCTCAATATTTCCGCCCAAGTTGCCATTGTAATTAGGTGTTGTGAACCGTATCGATCCTAACACAAGGTCACCGCGACACGTCTATACTTAGTAATTTGGTTCAAAAACCTTCTTATAAAAATGAACACGAACATCATCTGCAGACAAGTGTACTCAATTCTTACACTTACTATATGGACATCTAATATTCATTGAAGCATCTTATATAGGAAGTGTGCTTGCATAGTTTACAAATTCTTCAACATCCATTATCAACTCATTAGTTTACCTTTTTGATGAAATGAATGGTTCATATTATATTGATTTTAGTATTTTTTTTTATTTTCCTATTTTATGTTCTATTATATTATTTTCTTCCCTTAAAAACCCCACATTCCGTTAATATGACTTTTAGTAACGGGATATTTCATTAACTATTTATTATTTTTAACTTATTGATTTCGATAAGAAATGTCTTAGCTTCGAACCCCGTCCCAACCATAGTTGGCATAATTGTCGAACATATACTACGAATATGTTAGATTTTATTAATTTTTTTTTTGTCTATATTTCTATAATGGTACAATTGTAAATTACTTTACAAATATTTTACTGTTATTTTTTTATCGGGCAAAATTGTTCTTACATCATTGTCAGACCTGCATGACCTAACTACAAAGTTGTTGATCAGAAATACAACTACACATGAGCTCTAAACATAGGACCATTGTCTAAAGAATTGACAATGTTGACACCCTATTGGTTCCAATTGAACATGTACACACATCATTCTCAAAATTTTACAATGTTGCAAAAAACGTTAGGCGCCCCCTAGGCGCCAAGGGGGCGCCTAGGCGCAGATTTTTTATTTATTTTTATTTTTTAATTAAAAAAATTTAAAATTAAAAATTTTCAAAATTTAGTACTAAAACATAAGGTTTCTATAGTTATTTCTTAAAAACTATTTACAAAAGTGGTTGTAAAATTGTTCAAAAGATTGTTTAAACCATCTAAATACATAAAAAACTAAAATTAAGAGCTAAAGAAGCATTTTTTTGAGAAATTAGTGGACCAAACCGCCTTTGGCTTTTTGTTTAAAGGTGGTAAGAACTACCGACCACCAATTAAAGGTGGTCAGGAATATATATATTTTTTAACTTTTTTGTTTTTGTTGTGGTTCATTGTTATGAAGCCCACATGAAATTTTTTTTATCATTGATTATTTCACTCATTTTTTTTTTCTATTTCAATTGACCACGACACAGAGAGTTCACTATTAAATCCCATCGCACCATTCTTGCTATGAAAAATACGACTGTGCTACCCTTTCTGTGTAAAGACATGAAATCATTTTTTAACTTCAACTCTTTAAAACCATTATTCTTGTTAGAACTCTACAACTCTAGTTCTATTGAGTTTCATACTATTACATAATGTATTGTATATATCATCATGTATTGTACTGCATATTATTTTTATCACATAACACAATCATTCATATGGTATCAGCAGTCTAGGTTTTCTCATGGCGCCCATTCCTATGGCTTTGCCGTTGTTTCGTTGAGCGAACCATCATTGTTGTTGGGCTTGTTGTTCCTCTTGTTATTTTTGTTTTGACCTCCAGGTTTTGCCTTGTTCTGATTAAAACTCGATTCAACAATGTTAGCCTTAAAATTTCCAGAAAAGTTAACCGACCTGTTTTCGCGAATTGTCACTTCAATGTTGTTATAATAATATTATTATTATAATTGTTAAACCAAGAGTTAATTAGTTTGTTAATTAAATTAAGTAGTGGGTGGTGTGTATGCAGTATGTGGCTTAGTGTATGTGGAGTACATGGAGCATACATTCCTAATTTTTAGCTTTATTATTATTTCTCCTTTACTATAAAAAGGCTGTGTATCAATCTTTTTCAAATATCAATCAAGTTAATTCAATTCTCCTTCTCTCTCTCTTCTCAAATATATATTATATATATATTATAGATATATTATATTATATTTAATATATATTATATTAAATATATTATATTTAATATATCTAACATCTGGTATCAGAGCCAGTCAACCTTTCAACCCCGAGATATTTTTCGTAGTGAAATATGGCTGCAAATTTCAATATTGTATGGACGGGTCCCAAATTGGACGGGAAACTCGATTACAATTATTGGCAAATTATGATGTCCACACATTTGCAAGCTCAAAATCTTTGGAGCTTTGTTGATCCCGGTCTACCCGAAGGAGCTGATGCAGCCGCTATACGGCGAGATAAATTGGCCTTGGGTCAGATTCACCAAGGTGTTCATTATTCCATTTTTGGGCAATTAGCTCGTGCTCAAACAGCAAAACAAGCTTGGGACATCTTAAATGTGTCACACAAAGGAGTCGATCGGGCACAGAAGTCTAAGTTGCAGTCGTTGAGAAGGTTGTACGATAATTGTGAGATGACCTCTACAGAAACAGTAGATGCGTATTTCACTCGTCTTATTGATATGGTGAATAAGATGAGGCTATATGGAGATACGATTGAAGATGGTGCAGTGGTTGAAAAAGTTCTTCGAACTATGCCGATGAAGTATGACCATGTGGTGGCTTCAATAACAGAGTCACACAAAACCGAGCTCTTATCAATTGCAGAGCTGAAAGGTATGGTAGAAAGTCATATTGACAGGATTGCGTCAAAATCGGAACCACTAGCAGAAGAAGCTTTGAAGAGCCAAGTCACCCTTAATGTGACTGACACTAATCAAAGAGGTGGAGGATCTGGTAGAGGTCGTGGAAGAGGAAGAGGAGGTTCTAGTGGAAGAGGTCGTGGTAACTTCAACCAAGGAGGAGGACGTGGTAACTCCAACCAAGGAAGAGGTGGAGGTAATACCAAACAAGGTAAATTTCCATTTCATTGCTACAATTGTGGCAAGTATGGGCACAAGATTGCAGATTGTTGGTATAATGAGGACAACAATCGTGGAAATCAAGCAAACATTGCTGAAAATACTGCTGAAAAGTCTGGTGAGAATTCTGAAACCTTACTTTTGGCCAGTGATAGTTTTTCTGCAGATAAAAACATATGGTTCTTGGATACTGGGTGTAGTAACCATATGTGTGGTAAGAAAGAATTGTTTTCTGAACTGGATGAATCAATCCGGTCTGAAGTGACATTTG